GTTTAGAAAGTCATTTGTTTGCTCCTACATAGTACTTCCTCTCACCTTATAGTCATTTGCATGGCTACATTTCTTATATTATTTTTTTCATGTGTCGCTTTTAAGTTTGGCAAGGTCTTGGAGACAAAAATTTAGTAGTAGTTATTGTTCATATAAAGTTCCAAGCATAAAAAAACAAAAATGATAGTATTATAGATAAAAAAAGGGGATGCAACATAATTTTTGCTTTCTCTATTTGCAAATAGGTAGACATGTCATTGACATGTGCAGTCTCCAATATGCATGTTGAAGGATTACATATTTATAGACATGTAGACATCTATAACGTGTATGTTATGAAAACAGTTTTCATAGTACCATTAACATCAATTATTTTTGTACTACATATTACTACTCAAATTTAGAGAAGCTTTACTGTAAGTCATCTATTTACAAATATAGGCGGTTCTATTCTTGTTCATTTAAATTATATATTGGTACCATTGTTAAAGCTTTTGAGTGGGCGTACTTTTCCATATACGATTGTATGATTTATGATTGCTAGGTAATTGGATAGGGAAAAGCAAATTCTCGTTATTATGCCTTTTAAGACTCTTTTGATAATATTGAGTGGTGATTCAAATTTAAATATTGATGTGTCTTGCATATCTAAACACCTTGCCAATCTAATGTATTTTTGCAAAAAACAAACCTGCCATGCCATGGTTTAGAAAGTCATTTGTTCCCTCCTACATAGTACTTCCTCTCACCTTATAGTCATTTGCGCAGCTACACTTCTTATATATATTTTTCATGTGTCACTTTTAAGTTTGAAATGGTCTTCAAGACAAAAATTTAGTAGAAGTAGTTGTTCATATAAAGTTCCAAGCATAAAAAAACAAAAACGATAGTATTATAGAATAAAAAAAAGGGATGCAACAAATCTGTTGCTTTCTCTATTTGCAAATAGGTAGACATGTCATTGACATGTGCTGTCTCCAATATGCATATTCGAGGATTACATATTTATAGACATGTAGACAACTATAAGTTGTATGTTATGAAAATAGTTTTCATAGTACCATTGACATCAATTATTTTTGTACTACATATTACAACTCAAATTTAGAGAAGCTTTACTGGAAGATCTCTATAAAGTCATCTATTTACAAATATAGGTGGTTCTATTCTTGTTTATTTAAACTGTATATTGGTACCATTGTTAGAAGATTTTGATTGGACGTACTTTTACATATATGATTTAATGATTTATTAATGCTAGGTAATTGGATAGGGTAAACCAAACTCTCATTATTATGCCTTTTAAGACTCTTTCAATAATACTGATTGGTGATTCAAATTTAAATATTGATGTGTCTTGCATATCCAAACACCTTGCCAATCTAATGTAACCTATCTGCATACTCAATCATGAATGACAAATCTTTCTCTATCGCATGACAAAGATTCGAATGGACGGACAAAGATTCGAATGACCCCACATCAAAGGAAAAAATAAAATCAACTAAAAAGGAAAAAACACATATAAAAGCAAAAGAAAAAATAACAAATAACAGATAATGAGGTTTAAGGACAGACCATGTGCTAGAAGCTTCCACACTAGGTGGGGTTTCAGGAAGAGTTATACTACTAGCCATGCCTTATCCTAGCACACAGAGGGCACGTCGAAACGATGACCTTTTGGCATAAGTGAAGAGTACGGCACAACTGTGTCAGGACTGTTCTTCAAGCCAAATAAAAAACCCGACTAACCTAAAACAAGGGCACTCAAAAATCTAGATCGTAAGAGTTCACAGTATTATAAGAAAGCGAATGAGAATAGAGGGAGAGAAGCCCCCTGTCTTATTCTTATATGTGAAATGAGTCCTGGGTCAGCCACAGCTCCAACCAAGGTGTCTACCACTAGACCACATAAGAGCTCGGTATTGTTAATGGAGAAGCAAAGAGCAAGGCAAGGGCTCCGAGAGAATAAGAAAAATGCGTGTGTGGGAGGATCATAATAGTACATTATATCATCCTACTATGAAGATATCGACTATTCTCCAAGAAGCTGAAACGGTGCTGTTCCGATGTATCTGCCGTGTAGTAGTGACGACTCCGCTCTTCTAAGCCAGCGAACCCGACAGGCATCGCAGTACCAAACTCAACATCAACTCCTACGCTTCCTTGGTACATGCTGGAATGTCCAAGCCCGTTGCTCTGGTGCCTTCATGACAGGTGGAGCTGCTATGCTCGTCGGGATGGCCGGATCTGCTGGGCTCGGCATGCTATCCAGACCTCTGCAGCGACCAAACTCCCCTGATTGCAATCCAAAAATAGATCATCACCATCACGACAGAAACATCCTTATAGAAAGTAAAATATGCGACCGATATGCCTCGTATATCTACTATACTGCATTCTCCTGCTTTTATTTGACCAAAGGCTGTTGCACTTTCTTGTGCTCAAAAGAAAATGTTATGATATTCATCAAATTTATCTCGCCACTGCTAGCCTATGTATACGTCAGGCTTCTTTGGAAAGGATATCTCAAAATCGGTGGATGGATGGACTCTTGTTATACTTATTTGATCTGTGACCAGAGGGCAAGACACACAAAATCTGTATTGAATTTACCAAAGATTGATGAGAGGGATCATGTGATGATGGTACTAAACAAGAAAATATAATTTCACACAAATCAATCCGTGTCTTCGTTTACTTCTAGTTCTAAGACAACGGTAAGACAAGCTCCACACAAATGGACAAAATTGGGAAATGGCATCCTGTTGCTCATATCATTTCTAAACACTTAACTGTTGTACATCACGGGCTGTTAAAAGATGATCTGAATGTTCCAGCCATATCCAACATAGAGTATCCCAATCATATTCTCTATTATTGTCAGAGTGGTATCTGCCGCAACTGCACTTTTGTTTACTCATTCAGAATCAAGCTTTGGTTTCAAGTAAATTTGCCATCTTTATTGACACTTCTATTACAAAATCTGCTGGTAAGAAAAGCTGTGCAAAGTGGAGCAATGATGTCCCCCTTAGAGCACAGTATGCTTCTTCAGATAAGATTTGCCATGGAGGTAAGTGCCTCTGACTTCACATGTCTTGAATAAATTCGACAAATTTCACAATGACTTTGTAGAGAACCCGTAAGCAAGTCAAAATAGATTGCCATATTTAAAGATAGCTACAGTTAAATAATAAACTGAAGAACATGACTGTTTAAGTTCTTAGTGAAAACTGCCATGTGTGAGTTGTAACACACAATAAGTTCGGGGCTACCGCCACAAAGTAAAAAAGGATGAGCTATATATTTACCTGAAGAATACAAACTTGTGAAAGGATGATATTGGTGCCTCACAATGCTTTCACAAAGTTTCCTTGACTCAACTGACTCAAGTTGAACCATGAAGACGTCGTTGTTCAACTTTATAAGAATTGCGTCGTCGTCCTCCACATACCCGACTATAGCTGTTTCGGCAGCCCTCATATTCAGGACGAGCTCGAGATTCACGGTATTCGGCGGAAACCATGTGGCGGCACCATCCCCATCAGCCTTCAGGTCCCACATTTGGAGGCTTGGATACGACAACATGGCGAAGCCAACACCGCCATCCTCTGCCCGGATGATGTGGATGAAACTTTTCGATTTCTGGATATCTCTAACAGGAAGTTTTTGGATCACGGCTAGGCTCTGCCTACCAATATCAAACTCAAGTAACTCCATGTCATAAGATCCATGGATCCACCAGTAAAGGGAGTTGCCGGCGAGGGTTGAGGGGCGGCTGAAATCGACGTAACCGCCTTCCAATCGTTCCGGCGCCGAGATCAGGTTGCCCCACATGCTGGTCTCCGACGAGTAGACACGGGCGCGGGCTCGGGAATCATAATTCCCTCTGGAGAAGGTCTGCACCAGGACCACCTTGAAGGGGCTGGAGTGGCATCCCACGTGCACGTGCCCGGGGTCGCCATCGGCGCAGAGCACCGCCCCGTGGGCCATGTTGCCCGAGCCGAACTCCGGCGGGAGGGCGCCGCGGCGCTGGTCGCCGGTGACGGGGTCGCACACGAGGGCCTCGCGCCGCCGGTGGTCGACGACGAGGACGCGCCCGTGGCGGCACCCGAGGAGCGTGCCGTGGTAGGGGTAGGAGTCGGTGGCGCCGCCGTAGTCGATCCGCATGGAGAGGCGCTGGCGGGGCACGCGGTCGGGGCGGGCGAGGACGGGGGTGAAGGAGACCCACCCTCCGTACTCCTTGAAGAGCCCGAGGAGCGGGGCCTTCTGGTGGCGGCTGCGGAAGCGGAGGAGGAAGCCGGAGTCGGCGGCCAGGCGGCGCCAGCGGTTGCAGACGAGGGAGACGCGCGGGAGGGTGGAGGGTAGCGCGGGCAGCCGGAGGAAGATCTCCCACAGGATGTCGCCGCCGCTCGGTGGCGCGCCGGCAGGGGCAGATCGCAGGCGGCGACGCGCCGGCTCGTCGCCGTCCTCGCTCATGATGGACCGCACCCCGCCGCCGGCAGCCATGGAGATTAGTCTCTTTTTTTTCTTCTCGTTTTTTAGGAAAAATTTTCTCGATCGATAGCAGTTGGAGGAGCGCTCGGAGATAACTGAATGGAGGCTCGGGCTGTGATGTGGGCTTTTTTGTTTGGAAAACAATTGGAGCCGGTGCGCCGGCCGAACTTTGCGCCGGCTCGCGGGCCACGCTGGCTCACACGAACACGCAAACAACCACCCCGCGTGAGACGTGTATATGATGGGTCCCGCACGACTTTTCCTCTTCTTCCTCCTCCAGCCCATCCATCGCAGCTCTGCTCCTCTACACAGCCTTCCCAGGCTGCTCGCAACCTCCAGAAGTTCTCATCGGCGGCGAGTGCTCGCGTGCGACGGCGCGCAACACCGCCCCTCCTTCATGGCCGGCGAGCCCCTCTGCCATCCTCCTCCTCAATTTGTATCCCCGCTAGCTCCCCGCGGCCATGGCCGTCTACACCCCTCGGATCTCAGCCATGGCCTCCGCCCAACTACAACTTCGAGTCCCCGCCGGTGAAGCTACGGAAGCATCTATCGGGGTGCTGCAACCAGAGCTGTAAGCCTACAACCACAGGGCACACGCTGGACGGCAAGGACGGGGCGGCGCTGCTCCTAGCAAAAAACTAATGTCGCAATTTTTGCTAAATGCTTCAACCGGCATAACATTTTGCTACAACCGACATCGCATTTTGCTACAACCGTCGTCACGTTTTGCTACAACACATAGCCGGTGTCGTAGTTTTGCTACAACTAGCGTCACTTTTTGCTACATCCGGCATCACGTTTTGCTGCATCCATCACGACCGAGTTATGACCCGCGACGGCGGCGATGACAATTTTGCGGCAAGCGTCGTAGTTTTTTGCTACAACCGACAGCACGTTTTGCGACATCCATTCTTTTTCTAGAACGCAATGGCTGCTACGTGCAACGACGAGCTACAAACGGCGACGACGGTGACAGACTTTTTTGCTGCAACCGTTTTCCCCATTTGCTACGACCGTGCAATAGAAAGCTGCAACGGGCGCCATGGGAGCCACATGCCAGCGGCAACGGCAAACGTCAAGCTGCAACCGGCGGCAACAAGAGCTGGATCCAGCGGAGCTGCAACCGGCGACTGGTGTTGCCGGAGCCACGGCCATCACCAGCGAGGCGGAGCTGCAACCCACAGGCGAAGTTTTTGCTGCATGCGTGGATCTGGACGGCGGCGACCGGCGGCGAGTGCGGCATCCAGCAGCACGGGAGTGGCGAAGAGAGGGGTTGTAGATGAGGGGGTAGCGGCCGGCGGGCCAGGGGCAGCCAGGAGACAGGGAGCCGCGCTCGCGCTGCGCGCGGAGAGGATGAAGGAGAGAGAGAAGTCAACGCACAGATCGGACGGTTGCTCGCTGGATCGGGTGGCTGGGGTTGGACCGGCCGAACCGTTTCGGCCGGTGCGCCGGCGCCTAACATCGCCCTTTTTGTTTTGGTGAAGAAATGTTTGTGCTATCCTAAAAATATATAAATAAATATGGAAAAAAATGGGCTCAGCGCGCCGGCTGAACACTCGGCCGGTCACTTGTTCACGCACGTGCCACGCAGTCAAAGGGCCCGCACGCAGACATCCTTCTCTTATCCGCGTCGCTCCCTCGGTCAGATCCGCGCCACTGGAGCTCTGCCTGCCTCGCCGGACCCGGTCACGCCGGGAGCTACAACAGGCGAACGGAGGAGCTGCATGGGCGCTATGCTTGAACCGTGTCCTAGAGATGTTGGAACCGTGTTCTAGTAATGCTGGAACGTGATCCACGGAAGCTGGAACCGTGTCACCTGATAATGGCATATTTTGCTACAACTATGGTTGAGAAAGCTGCAACGGGCATCCGTAGAAGGTGGAATCGGTCACCAGCAGAGCTGCAACTAGCGTTTAGAAAAGGTACAACGGCGGATGGCTTGGTGCTACGATAGAGATGGAAACCGACAATGCAATTGCTGCAACCGTATGTACTTTTTGCTGGAACTGGCAGGTGAGAAAGCTGGAACCTTGACTGTGAGATGCTACAAATGGAATGGCGTTTTGCTACAGTTGTCGTGAAGAAAGCTGCAATGACATTGGCAAAAGCTGGAACCGGTCACCGACAAAGCTGTGAATGACTTCTACAGAAGCTGCAACGGCGACGACTGGGCGAGCCAGTGCTACAACTGACAATGGTATTTGCTACTACCGGTGTCGGCAAATGCTGCAACCGATCATCGTGTAATATCTCCGTCGGCAAGGAGCTACGATGGGGATAGTAGCCCTTTGACGATGGAGCTTGAAGAACCATGGACATGGTGGTCCCTTGGGAGCCATGGCGGCACCCCTTCCACGGAGCTCAAGGACCATGGCATGGCGTGCCCTAGCAGCCATGGTGGGTCTTTGAAGGCGCCGAGCCTGGGTTGTGCGGCGGTGCTTCGATCTCCGGCGAGGGAATTACGACGAGGGTCGTTGGC